GTTGTAATTGCTCAAATGTTTTGATATTTGGGTTTACAAATAGAAACTGTTTGTTTGCATTAATGGAAGTTGTTGATTGTTTCTGATTTTTATTTCAATTTTCTCTGCATTGTGTATTTTTTATGCGTTGCCTTCTAGAATTTACTTTTGTAGGGGTTACTTTATTTTCTCTTTTGCAGAGGTTCCATTTGATATCAAATCATGAATATCACTGTCTAGATACAGTTCTTCAATAGTCATAGTATTAATGGGGAACAGTGATACACTTTCCCGTCCATGGATAATACCTCTTTTTCATCTGCCATTTGCTCTAACATTACACAAATATATGATGTTAAGTGTAATGATGTTCTGAAAAACTTGAGGTTCATCATACACATATGCTAGATAAGTTACGCTGGATCTTTAAATTAAACCGTGGGATAATATCGTTTACTGTCTCTATCTATTAACCCTTGAGTTGATAGTGTTCTGCCATTCTTTGACTGCAGTGAAAGAGATGCACAATAAGTATTAGGGAGTATATTTCCTTGCCTAGGTTTTATTCGATCTTGTTTGTTGCATAGGTTAAACAGGGAGGGAATACATTGCATACTGGTGTCCAGCAAAAATTTCTATAGGATATGAAATTTCGACATAAGCATCTCTAGAGCATATCATAATTCTAACCCCCTGTTAGAAACCTAAGGAAGGAATTACTTTGTCAATGAACTAGGTTCTTGCACAATAATTCTGAGCTTGAACATGTGGCAAGCTAAGAAGGACCTCAGCAAGTTCCAGTCATTTAAAAGTTGTCGCCACTTCTCTAAGAATATCATTTGCAGCAACAGATTGTGTGATAGAGGCAAGTTATGAATCACTCTATGCGAAGATCTCTCATTTTAAGGTAGTTATTGTTGGGTGCCTGCATCTTGTTGACGAGGGATGCCAAGCCAAGTTCGACGATTTTGAGGTTCAGCCTATAAACCATTTTAGTCTATCAGTATCAATCAGAGCCATTTGAAGAGAAGAGGGGTGGGGAGATAACCATGCACATTTGAAGAGAAGAAAAATTCGACTTTCATTTTATTCTTTATCTCGCCAGTTCTGATAAAAGAGGTTGAAGCTAACGATGGATTGAATAGTTGTTACATTTCCACCTGCTGGTTATCACCCAATTGCATCGGAAAAGAAATCTTAAAGCTGTATACTTCGTAAAGCATAATACGGGCAATGAATTAGCTTATTTTAGAAGTTACCATATGAGCAGAAAATCGACAGCAATGCAAAAGACAACTGGATCAGAATTTCTCTGCGTGACTCATGAGAACATTTTATTCAAATAAATATCCTGGGTACTATACATAAGTTAACTCTAGACAACAAAAGAACATACAAAATACAACAAAAATTTCTAACTTTCCAGTAAATCAAAATTCTAGAAAACAATGCTTCTGTAAACCGGGATTGCTCCACTTGTCATTTTATCCACAAGGGGTGAGCTTCTTATTGCCAGCACCCCGAGGATTATCATCTTTCCAGTCATCCCATGCCCTCGCCTTATCTTGAGCAGCATCATCATCTTCATCATCCTCCTCAGGCGGTCCTGGTTTCCTACTCTCCTTGTACCATGCAGAGTTGGCTTCTTCCATAAGTTTAACATTCCTCTCTTGCCATGTGTTCATTATCTCCATCTCCTTCAGCCCAGCTTCCTCTATGCTCATGGTGGGCAACCTTGCACAGTAATTAAATTTGGCATCTCAAAGGAATGTTTAAAATGAGAAAAGAAGAAATCACAAACACAAAATCCAGATATTTCCATCATATGCTCGTGATAAATTAGACTTAGCATATCAAGTAACACAAGCATAAAGTATTTCTCCATTTTCCTTTAACGCACTTAATAGTTATTAATCAGACCCTGGAAATGTACCTATGACTGGGCTGGAAAACCTGAGCTGCCATCCTTTCCCTCTCACTTGTTGGATTTCCACCTACAAGACTCGCTGGTCCAAATATTAGTGGCTGGTGTTTATGTTCATGCATCTGGGATACACTTGATCTCCCTTCTAGAACATCTTGAGCAAAAGTTGCACATGTGATAGGCTCTGCTGGTCTGGTATACTGCACTCGAGCAGCGGCATCACGATGCCAAGCTTCTGCCCTCTTGGCTCGATCATCAAGAACATCTTGATAAAATTCCTTGTTCCCATCCTGAAATACATGACAAACAGAAAACCTTTCAGAACTCCATTCTTTCACTTTTCTTTTGACAAACCTTTCAGAAAACCCGTTCTTTCACCTAAACACTAGAACTTTACCCACTAACCATCTATTAACTACAGAAATATACTGAACAGATAGCTTTCTTCTCAAAACATTTGGTGCAATGCTTTAGCGATTTTGTCCCTCTTTTCACTTCCAATTATCACCCAAAATTGCGAATTCATGCCAGAGTAATGTTACTACAGCACAAGTCATCAATAGCACACAGATGTTGATATCAAATACCTTTGACTGCCTTTCCTTAAAAGCTCGAAGCATCTCTTCCTCTTTCTTTAGCATCTCCAGCAGATCAAAAGCCTGAACATGATTGCATGGAAGGAAGACATGAGTATGAATTGACACGTATAAAGATGATTTCATGTGGAAGATTACTTTAAAGCTATAAACTAACCTTACAAACTGCCAAAGAGATAGTAGTAAACCAAGCCTGCAAGAAAAGGAATGTGGTTAGACATTTAAACTTGTCAAAACACTGTAATGTAAAACCAAACAACAATTCAGTAACAAGGAGGTGAATGCCATTGGGACTCCACATTCACTAACAGTAATTTATGCATATTGGCACTCAAAATGGGTCCAATGAGTGCTAATGTACTGCCCTGCAAAAACATAACAAGAACTATACTAACCTCTCGCTCCTCCTCTCCATCATCATCCAGCACATCTTCCTCTCCTGCCTCAATAGGAGTTGACAAGGCAGCTGCTTTAGTTGAACGCCCTCTTCGCTCTTTCCGCTCCTTAATTTCCAACAATTTTGATTCTGCAGCTCTTTGGCGTTTGAATCGAGCAATCTGGATACAGAAACAAGTAGAATAAGTAGCATACTAACACCAAGCTTCTAATTTCACATCACATGTTAGCCACTCCAAAATGTAAACAAGTCAGCAGCACAAATAATGCAATTATACAAGCCATGAGTCCCCAAGAAATTTGAGTGAATATGATAAGAAAATTGAAGTACCTTCAGAGCTCTTCTATCAACAAGTGAATTTGGGCCATCTGGCGCAGATGTTTGTAACTCCTCTTCAGGTACAAGTTCCATTGCCTCACAAAACGATATAAATTCCTACAAGATGTCACCCCCCTAATTTAGCTTTAATAGAAACACAAACTTTGAACTATTCAACGGAACACATATACTCGTACAAATACATTGATGAACATGATATGTTCAATGATCTTATTGCGTTACTGACAAGCAACTATTGAATATGCTTCACCTTTAACTTAGCCTGGGATGCCTTAAGAATCTGTATCCTGTCATCCTGTGCAACTTTTTCAGTTAACTCACCAAGATAATATGGCACCTGTAACCAAAATACCATTAGAAGCTCATAATATTTAAACCAAAGAGAAAAGCTTTCCGAGCTATTATCTGAAATGACTGCTAAATGCAGATTGGTAGAAAACATTCATAGTTCCATAATATAAAAATTAAATAAAATTAAAAAAAAAACCCAGGAGAATTACCAGAAGATATTTGAGATTGGTGGTGCTGATATCCTCCTTGGTCTCGTTGGTTGAGAACAAGCCCAGCTTGCTTATCATTTCATCGCACTTCTCCAAAGCCTTGCATCCCTTCCTCACCACCTCCTAATATCCAAACCACCACAAACGCAATCGAATCATCCAAATCAATTACACAATAAAACATTATGATGTACCCACAAACTTATGGTGTGAAGTAGTGTACCTGATCAACATCGCCGGAATCTGTCGCTGTTAGATGGATCTTCTGAGCTTGCTCGAAGAGAGCGGGTAGAGGCATATCCTCCATGTTAAATTCACCCATATAATCCCAAAAAGGAGCTTTCTCTCTGAGTTAAGCTGGTGATTCCTAAAATGTTCAGCGGTTGAATTGCAAATTTGAAAAATTAGGGCTTTCAGATTTGGGAATCGGATTCTCAAGAAGACGACGGAAATACAGAACTTTCCGGATACGAGATGAAGAGATATTTATAGGGGGAGATACCGCGCCTAAGGCGTAAGTTAGACTCAAGCTCTATCCAGTGTGGAGTGGTGCACGGGTTGTCTATGTGAATCTCTAGGCCTGGTTCGCCACGTCGATGAAATGATTGGATTTTAAGAATGATTCACAGAACCGAGTATAGCCGGGCGGCAATATTTTTTTAAAAATGATTAACAAACGTATAGCCGATCGGCTATACTATTTTTAGAATGATTAACAAACCCACGTATAGCCGGTCGGCTATACTATTCTTAGAATCATTCACAAACCAGAGTATAGCCGGTCGGCGATACTATTTTAATGATTCACAAAACCGAGTATAGCCGTCCGGCGATGCTATTAACTAAAACCGAGTATAGCCGCGCGGCTAAACTATTTTTTTCAGTTTGTTCTTCTTTGAACGACGATATATTTGTTGGCGTTGTCGTTTGTTCGAGTAAGTTTTGGTGCTGTTTGCGTGCGCTCTTTTCTTTTGGGCTTCTCTGTAAATGCCATTGGGCTATCCGTAATCTAATATCCTCCTGCCCAAAAATGAAAATGGAACTGTAAATTCCAGTTTCTTTTTATTTTCCCCTTCCTCTTTTGATCTTATTAATATTTGATAATTAATAGTTTTGGTGAAAAGTCTCAATCAAGTCAAGTTCTTTGGGACAAGGAGAGTTCGGTGTGAGTGACTCATGAGCTACTCAATTATTTCATATGCCAACACAGTGAGCTGATTGATGCAAAGCCCAGCAGCAGGCAGAGAAACAAAAAAAAAGGAAAACCAAAGACTTAATGATTTTGTGATCACACATGTTGATTTCACACATATTGAACAGAAAATGGCAAAAAATTCGTTCTTTGAAATGAAAGTTGAAGGAAAGTTTTGAACTTGAATGGCAGCATTCACTTTCCTGCTGGGCTAGCTTAGTAAGAAGAGGGAGGCTAGTAGAAGCAAACATCATCCGGATGGGATGGGACCCAAGAAAAGCACAATAATTTATTACAAAGCCATGGTGGGAACATGGGCTGTGATCCCAAATGCCCAGACTTGACTGTGACACTAGTTTATTCGTCCTTTCTGTTTTCTTTATTTCTTTTTTTTTTTCCTTGTTTTCAGAAATGTTATGCAAGTCAGAGAGAGATTGCTTAGCATCACCAACCCCAGATTCCAAGGGCAGATCAAGAAAAATAAAATTAAAATTAAGGTGATTATTGGCTCTCTAATGTTAAAATAAGAGTAAATATGATGCTGCTTTTTTAAGTACAACGGATTTGCCTTATTTTTTCATGAACAAGTTTCCTGCTTTACAGGTCTCAGCCAAGGGAGGAACTTGAGAAGAAGCCTACCTCTCTGGACCCATGCCCTAGTTGGTTGCTTTGGTGGTTCCTTCATGATGATTTTGAACTGTTAGTGATATTCTTGTTTGCCTGCTCTCATCATTTGCAAGAGATGCTACTGCCCAGTTGCAGCTCACTTGGACCTTTCACTGGTAAGTGTTACATACATGTATTTTTCTATTTATTTATGGCATTACATTATTTGGTAAATTACTGTTACTGAATTCAATTGGATTTCTTGATGAATGTTGGAAAATTAATCACTGGGTTTTCAATGGAATTGCTCTGATTTCTGATTCTGAAGTATTCACTTGCAATAATAGTTGGCATAAGGGTATAGTGATATGAAAAATATGGTCCAAGATCGAGTTAATGAGTATGTTTGTTCATGTACTGATATTTTGACTCCAAGTTCCAACCAACAATGCAAAAGATCTTTTCAGTTTTGTTTTATGGTTACTGAAAAGCACCTTATTTTTTGTAGTGTTTTTGTATCACTTTTGTAATACTTTAGGAAATATTTTATGCAGTGTAGTTTTATACAGGTAAGCCACTCTGGAAATATACAATAATATTGTGGGACTGTTTGATTGAGATATGTTTATTGTTTTCTTGGAGTCCACTCTCTTATGAGTAATGGTGACAAACAACCAGGAATCTAGTGCTTTTGCTTCCTATAGCAGTCATCCCTCATGTCATGACTCATTTCCACTGCTAAAGAGGAAAAGGAGGATAAAAGTCGGTGAGGGGAGAAGCATGTGGGGTTTCTGTTAGGTCAGTCTTTCACAGAAAACCAGGGGGTTCTTAAAACTTTCTTTCGTTTCTTTCCTGTTCTTTTTTAGTACAATTCTTTTCAACTGATTTTGCAGTAGCAGACACGAGTAACATGACCATGCCTTTTTGGAATCTGTAGTCACATAACGTATACAGTACAAGTTGAATGCTTCAGGGTCTCCATTGAAGCTCTGCTCTTTCCGAGCTACAATTTTACTCTGCAACAAGCAATGGTGACTGGTCTCTGGTTTTGAGCTGCAAAAGTGAGTCTCTTCTTTCCGTAAGTTCTGATACAATTTATGCAACTCATTGATAAAATGGTTCCTTTGCAGCATTTGAATTGTGATTGTTTCCCAGTCACTATGCTGGTTTATTTGCACATTTATATCTAGTTGGTATTCTAGTACTTCTGCACTGAGCGAGATGTTTGGATCTTAATGGAATTATAATCGATTCTCTTCTTTCTCCCCTCTCATCCTACTCTTCTTTTCAAAATGGATTTTTATGCGAGTTGTTTATGCTCTGCGTGATAATGCTTACATTTTCAGTTTTCCCAATCAAATTCTAGAGAGGAAGAAAACTTCTGACTTCTGAGTAATGGAAGAAAAAGTGGTCTCCAATTCATACGCATCTGAAGAGAAGAGTGATAGTTTGTATCCTATGTATTTTGGTGTTTCTTGTGCTTTCTTTGCTCTACGGCTCCTGTCAATACCTGATATGCAAGATGAGAGGTTGTCTGAAGTACGCGATAAAATGCTTCGAGGAAGTGCGCAACTGTTGGGATTGCTTGTATGGAGAGTTCAGAAAGAAGGAAGAAGTGCGCAATATTATGAACTTCTCCATAAGCTTGAGACTGCTGAAGTAGAAATTGGAGGGTTGAAGAGACTGAGGCATGAAGATGCAAAAGCCAATGAGAAAGTTGTGAGCATCTTTGCTGCACAGGAGCAATGCTGGTTAAATGAAAGGAAGAAATTGCGGCAGCATATTGGGGCTCTAATAAATGCATTTAAGGTTCGTGAGAAAAAGGAGGATGAAACAATTTCTGACATGAATGATAAAATGAAGGATATGGAGCTTTTGGTGCAATCTAAGGACAAGGCATTGGGGGAACTGGAGCAGAAGTTGAAAGAAACAGAAGAGAAGCTAACAAAGGCTGAAAGTGTTGCAGAAGAATTGAGAGAAAATGCTCAGCGTGCAGCCCAAGAGCATTCTTCTGAGCTTTTGAAGCAGAAAACTGCATTTTTGGAGCTTGTGTCAAACCAACGGCAGCTTGATGCTGATATGGGTCGAGCACTTAGGCAAGTTGAAGCTTCTAAGCGGGAGATAAATGTAGTCTTGGATCAAAAGGAGGAGTCAGTTGTGATGGTTCAAAAACTGTCTGCGGAAATTGTAAAGATGCATAAGGATTTGGAACAGAAAGACAAGATTTTGTCAGCAATGCTTAGAAAATCCAAGTTAGATACAACAGAGAAGCACATGCTTCTAAAGGAGATTAAATTATCAAAGGCAAAGAGGAAGCAAGCTGAGCTTGAAACAGAACGATGGAAGGTAGTCTCTGAGTCTAGACATGAGAGGCATTCATTGAGAAGTATGTTGGAAAAAGCAAATTCTAGGTTTGAGATTGCTTTAAATGAAAGAGGGGCGAATTCTAGTGCAACAGGTGCATCCCATTTACACATTGTAAAGGCCATACCACAGCCAGTTCATGCTCTTCTTGGGTATGAACATTCTGAGTTTATAAATGAATCGGATGGATACTCGTTTGAGGCAAAGCAGGACCTGGGTGAGACTGAACTCTTAATTGCCCTTTTGATTTAGCATATATTGTCTTCTAGTTAACCTCATTCGATTACTGCTGAAAATATATGGTCATGCTCTTCTCCCTAATCATGTTTCATTTGTCTTTTGTTCTTGCTTTTGATTGATAACAGCTGATGTTAAGCAGTTGGAAGGTTGGGTTCGCTCAGAAGCAGAGAGGTATGCAGCTGTAATTGAGCAAAGGCATCACCTAGAAATGGATGCTTTTGTAGAGCAATTAAGACTCAAAGATGAGAAATTAGAAACTTATCGATGGCGCTTGCTGAGCATGGAATTAGAATCAAAGCGGCTAGAGTCCCATGTCGAGGGACTGAACAAAGATTTGGCACATCTCAGACATAATAACATGAAATTGGAAGCCTTGCTATTGGAACGGGAAGAAGAATTAACTTCCCTGAAAGAGCAGTTTGCATCACAGTTAAGGTTTCTAAACAGCCAGAAGAACTTAAATTCAACTGCATATGATTCGTCAGTAGTCAATGATGCCCTTTGGCACAAATTCAATATCATAAGTAGGAAAGCAGATGAGGAAGATCAGAACACGAAGAGAACTTTGATGGAACAATCTCAAGAGCAAAACATTAAGAAAGAAAAGGAAACCCCGTCTTCTAGCCTGTGTAAAAATGTAATTTTGAAGATACAATCTCCTGACAAAGAGTTTGAAGTAGATAAGGATGTTGCCTATGAAGGAACAAGTCAAGAGGGAAGTGAAAGTTCGGTGGCAGTTAATGGCACTGAAAAGTTGGCATCACCAACGCATGCCTCAAGTACAAATAATTCTCTGTGGAGGATGGATCTTCAAGCTCTTGGAGTTTCTTACAAGGTGAAGAGGCTGAAGCAACAACTTCTTATGCTTGAAAGATTTACAGGAAAGCACGAAGGTGCTGAAGATCATACAGAAAGCAATGATGATGGGCAAAGTGGGATTAAAGGTTTTCTTTTGCTAATGTCCCTGCTGAATAAACAAGTCGGCCGGTACCAGTCTTTCCAAGGGAAGGTTGATGACCTCTGCCATAGGATGGTAAGCATGAATTTTTTTTATCTTGGTGAATTTTCAGAAAGAATATGATTCTCCCTTTCAATTGTTTCTTTGGTAAAATCTATGCCATCTGGCTGTAATTTTATGAAATATTAGGATATAACTGGGACCAAAAGGTCCAAAACTGAAGGTGATATTGAAATTAGAATATTCTTACTAGCTTCATTATATGATGGTCATGTTGGCCCTTCTTTTAGCAGTTGAAAATGGACACGTCATTTGATTTTGAATTCCTTATTTCTGATTTTCAGCATGACAATGGTTTAGATCAAAATGGTAGACGCGGAGATTCGGATACTGCCAGAACAAAAGACAAGACCAAAACACTAGAGCACTTTCTTGACGAAACATTTCAGCTGCAGAGATATATGGTTGCAACAGGCCAGAAACTAATGGAAATTCAACCCAAGATTGCTTCTGGACTTGTTGGTGTTGCTGAAGAGCTAGAAACATGTGCCAGCTTTGACATGAATCGCTTCACCGACTTTATTAGAACTCTCTTCCAGGAAGTTCAAAGAGGTCTAGAGGTTCGGATAGCTCGAATTATTGGAGACCTTGAGGGGACCTTGGCTTGTGATGGGATGATACAGTTGAGGAGGTTATGATGAAAAACCATAAGATGAGGTTCAATTAATAACGGTAGTTTCGACTGATTTATATACTCAGATATGTATAGGGCTGGCTATAGGCAAATAACGTATATAATTTTAATGCAGAAGAAATGCCATGAGTTTAACTTTTACCTGCTCTCTACTTTTGATTGTGCAAATCATCAATCAACAAGAAAAACGTGGCAAAATTATTTGCACATACATAACCAATGTAACCTCGTCTTACAACAATCAAGAAGATAAACGATCTCACACAGTTTATTACTACACCAAGCAAGGACCCTTTTTTACTATCACAGCCCTGCAGATCCAGCTTCTGATGGGGTAACAAAAAATGATCAACACATAGGTTAATTACACTTAATTTTTTTCGACTGACTGACTATCGTTTACATTTTACAATTAACCTGTCAAAACATTGATCATCCTCCAAACTACGTACTCTGTTTCCTCCAAATTCAACGTGGGGCCTTGTAAGAGCTTCCTTTATTTTCAGTCGCCAAATTGGTTGAATGTGGTTAAATGTCAAATTGAAAGACTAGTTTTGTTGGGTTTTGAATGGTACTATTGCTACGAGTAGTCAAAGCAAATAATAGCAGAAGAAAAACGAAAAAAGAAACTTGTTGATTTTGTAACTAGGCTTAACCCTTCAGATGCAAGTTATAGCCCTGTGCCCTTAAAATTACGAGGTCAATACTCAATCTGATAGCTTCGATGATCCCTGGGGTAAATTGAAGGTCTATATCCCAAATGGTTTAATGCTGGCTCATGCAAAAGCCATTAACGGCTGTGATGGGGTTGCATGTCTTAGTCACTTTGAATGATTTAGCATCTGCAGGTGTTCCCAATTTCCCCAACAGATTTCAATTGGGGTGGTTGTGTTGGGGCTCTGGTGATTGAAACATTTCTGATAAAAAGGAGAAGGTTGCTGCCCTGTTGTCAATGACGTGCGATTATTGCTATGTTTCAATATCTGTTTACCAATATAAAACTTTAAACAAGAAGCACATGGTTCTTCTTCCTGGCAGGCAAATGAATGAGTTAAAAATGTCAAAGGATTTGGTGGCTCGTTACTCATTCATTAGGGAGATTTTCTAATAAGTGTTTAAGTTAATGATTAGTTATATATTTTTAATCTCAGGCGTTAAATTGCATCTAAGAGACTATCAACAAATTTAATAAATATAATTCAACGCCCAAGATTAAAAGTATATAACCAATTCTCAACATAAAATACTTATTAAAAAATCTCCCGATTAATTATAGGTCTATATTATATATGTGCAATCATTTTTAAAATTTATAATGAGCGCCACCTTTTAAAGCAAAGAAACAAAGTATTAAAGAAGAAAGTAATAGAAACATCCTTAATTAAAATATTGGAAAAAAGAAAAAGAAAAAGACCTCGCGGGTACGTAGTGGTTTGGCATTGTCCCCCCTCAGCCTTAAAAAACTATGGAAAAACACTATCATCATATTTAGGCACACACTTCAAATTGGAGTCGGAATTATCTTCCTTTCCCTGCTGGGAGAAATGAGAAATGACTTTACTTTGTGGGGGCCCAACCAAAGAAGTATTGAAAATGAATTGTATAAGGACTTTTTTGTTTTATTCCTGGCCCTTACAAGACTAGTTCAACTTCACAGCTAGCTAGGCTGCCCAAGTATTTATCTATTTTAATGCAGAAGAAGTTGCCTAACAAATACAAGAATAATCAAGTCAAATTATGCATGTATCAACAAAAATCATATCTGTATTCATATATAGCTACAGCAGATGAATCACTATCATCTGTTTTGTTTCTGCAGTATTGATCAAATATTCTCTTTTTCTTTTGTCTGCACCAAAATGTTCACAGCAGCTTTGTGTAACTTTTGACTGATTAAAGTTCGTAAGAATATCAGTAAAGAGCTCTTCAAAATACCGGTGCGTAGTTTTTGAAATTTGATCTGTCATCAAACCAAACAGAGAGACTCTAACCAAATCACCAAATTTGCTAGTCAAAATATTTGAAGAAAAGAGTGAGTTCCTTTCCGTTCCCTTCCCTTCCCTTCCCACCCAACCCTGTTCAAAATTTAAGTACCCTTTCTTCATTTTCTTCATTTTCTTTGTGTGTGTGTGTGTGTGACAAAGAAAGAAAGAAAAAGGAAGCGGAACAAGGAAAAGGACTAGGCGGAGCAGCAGGAGGCCGTCTCTTATACCATTTGGCATTGGCATGATAAACCAAGCAAGCAAGCACGTAGAGTAAGAATATAATTAATACCAATACCAAGATTAAAATCTTATTTTCCCATTTCATCAATTACGACTTTTCTGACCGACCCAATTGAGAAATGACAGTTGATGGTCGTTATCCACATCGATCGTGACCATCAGATTTCCACAGGGGGACCCACACCTCATTGACCCAAAGGGCATTTTCGTCCTATCTTAACCCCCCATTTACTTAAACACAAAAAGAAATAATATATAGAAACTGGCATTTTCTCGTGAAGAATAAGCGCCAGGAGCGTTTGCTGCGACCCTCGCAATTCACATTCACCACCACCACCAATTCCTCACTCCTCTCTCTCTAAAAACTCCTCATAGACCAAGTCATCTCTCTCTCTCTCTCTCTCTCTCTCTCTCTCTCTATAAAAACGTACACACCAATCTCACCAACCGATTAGAATATGAACAGGGTCGCTCTATTTTCTCTGTTTTGAGAAATCGTTGTGAGAGAGAGATAAAGGCTGAAGAAGAGCATGGGGTCTGAACCAGTGAAGGAAGCATGCGTCTGCGCCACACCAAAGCTGTCTTTGTTCTCACTTCCGAACCAGCCACCCGAGCCTCCGGGGATGCTTACCCCACCACTCCAAACTTCAGTCTCTGTTCCCTTCCAGTGGGAGGAAGCACCAGGGAAGCCTAGGCACTGCTCCACCACAGAATCCAAGGCCAAGTGCGCAAGATCCTTGGAACTGCCTCCGAGGTTGCTCAATGAGGCCGCCAAAATTACCAACATGCCCTCCCCAACCACCGTGCTGGACGGGCCTGACGTCGGCAGGACTCTGTCTTTTTCGTTTAGAGTTAGGAACCCCGATAGTTTGGGGAGCAAGAGGATCGGCAAGGAGAGTGGTAGAGGTGGTGGTTTTGGGTCTATGAGGTGGGGGAGTTTCAGGAAGAACAAGGAGGTTGTTGACCATGGCGGCTTTGACTTTTTGCCTGCGGCTGGTGGCAGCGGCGGTGAAACAAAGGTGAAGATCACAAGAGTTAGGAGGAGAGATAGCTTCATGAGTGTTACTCACACAAAGTCACATACGTGGGTGAGTGTTTAATATACTTACAAGCTCTCAAACTCAATTTTTTTTTTTTTTCCACCTTTAATTTCATCAGATTTTTGCATAAACTTAATTGTTTTGAGAAGGACTAAGTTCATACTACATAATGTTTGATGTGAATTTCAATATAAATTTTGGCATCCTTGTGATGAACTTGGGTTCACGTGGCTTTCCACAAATACCCAAAAAAATAAAAATAAAAGAGAAACATAGCGAAATGATTAACAAAATGTTTTTTTTTGTTGTCGAAGAAAATCAATAGGTCAAAATTAGCATAACTCTGTGGACATATATTAATTTCGGAACCAGTGTTGTTAAATTAAAATGTGATTAATTTTGTGCTCAGCTCAAATAGTTAATTATTATTATTATTTTTTAAATAATTGCAGGCAAGCATTTATGAAAGCTTTAAGCAGGTGGTCCCATGGAGACGCAGGCAAGAAAAATTGAGAAAAATGGCATCGTAAAGTCTTGCAACTGTTGGATGGTTCATTTTCCTACTTGTTGAATTTGTGTATATAATATATAGCAGAACCAGATCATGAAAATAGTAGTCAATTAGTATAATATTATATTATATATTATATATTATAAGCTTCATCATCTTATCAGTTTGAGAGGCAAGTGAGAGACAGAGACAGTGAGAGAATGAAAAAAATTAAATTAAATTAAATTTAAGTACTATTCGGTACGGTACGGTATTGACCGGTATCAAAATCTTGATACCGCTACCATACCATACTCTATTCGGTACGGTACGGTACGGTATCGAATATCTATCGGTACCAATGAAACGGTATAAAATCGGTACGGTACGGTGCGGTTAGGGTACGGTTTCGG